TTGCCTCTCTGGAGAGGCCTTTCCTCATCACACTAGGCCTCTCCACTAATTTTCTCATGTCTCGTTGGTTTTCTCTCTTTGGGTATCTACCATGATCTGGTAATTGTTTTGCTTATTTGTTTAGTTACTTATTTACTGTCCATTTTCCCCAGTAGCATGTCAGCTCCATGACAGCAGCATCATTGTTTCTCTTGTTCACCACTGGGTGGCAAATAGTATGTTCTCAACAAATGGTTGTTGCATGGATGGATGGGTGGATGGATGGATGGACGGATGGATGGATGGATGGATGGATGGATGGATGGATGGATGGATGGTTAGATGGATGAATGGGTGGGTGCATGGATTGATGGGTAGATGGGTGGTTGTATGGATGAGTGGATGTATAGAGAGGTGGACAGGTGGATGGGTAGATGGGTGGGTAAAAGGCGGGGTGGATGGATGGGTGAATGAGTGGGTGGGTAGATGCATGGATGGATAGATGGATGAATAGATGGATGGATTGATGGCTGGATGAATGGATGACCTATAAGAATTCTTTAAACTTCAAGACTTTGGGATTATGAGTCCTTAGGGGATATGACTTCAGGAGAAGGTGAACCAGATTTGAAAGTTAAGTGCACTGTTTTGACCCCAGTGGTGGCTCTTGCAACAATAGGAAGGCAGGTGAACTCATGGCTCACTTTTGGGAAGAGGAATTTCCAGCAATGAAAATGACCCCACTTTCTCCTCTTTCAACATCATACTCCTTCAGTTTATTTTCCCATGGTCCAAGATGGGAGATACAATTTCTATACCTTAAAAAAAATCTCATAATTGCACCCACCCTAGATTCTCCATCCCTGAGTAGCACCCCCAGTCACACAGGAACAAAGACCAGCCTGTTCTTGGCTAGACAGCCGAGCCAAGCCCAGTCACTGTGTGGTATGCGACCCTGACCGGCTGGCTGAATTCTTCAGCTGATAAGAAGGCTGCATCTCATTGCTGGAAGGGAGCATGCAGATTAGGTGAGTAGACCTCCCTGTGGCTCACTCTGTCACTGCCCTCACAGGGAACGGACCCCCAAGTTCCACAGGGTTTCCCCTTACTCTCCCCAAACGCCAGTTGTATTCTAATCATCCCTTAGTATCCAGGCTGCCTCTCTTTCTCTGGGTATCATTTGACAGCTGGACTTGACCAGTAAAACTAATGATGCCTCCATCAAAGGGCCTTGGGGAGGGAGGCAGGCAGCTCAGAATTTAAAAAGCACAACGTAGAACAGCCTTCTGAATATAGGTGCTCTCTCCCTGGGCCCTGCTCCAGTTGCCTTTAGTAAACAACTTCACTAGTTTCCCTGCATTTTGCCCAGCCACATCCCCAGATTCAGAATGGAGTTTTCCAGGGCCACTGTGTAGCATGCACTCCACTCACTTCCAGGGATGTTGGGCACAGGAGCACAGTGTGAATGGCATCTTCCTGAAGTTGTGCATTATGGCAGCCCCAGGAAGCCCTGCACAGACATCAGTTTCAGAGACTGGAGGCTTGGAGGCCTGAACAATGACACTTGTACCTGCGTGTACCCCCATCATGAAAGATCAGGGTCCTCGTGCATTGGGCTACATTTCGGTTGTTGGCTGTGGAATATTTCTACTGTCAGTTCAACAAAAAGTGTGATGATCACAGTGAAGCTTAACAAAGAAAATGCTATCTGGCAATTAGTAAACCCAAGTCAGCAGGACTGATGTGAAATTTATCATGTTGGGAACAGCACGTTCATTTGCGTGTGACAAATGTTGGCATGTGCCCGGGGAAGCTAAGGATGATAGCTGCTTTTGTTTTTTCTGCCCCTACAGTTTTAGTTCGATCCTCTTCTCTGCTCTGGGATACCAGAAGCAAGGGGTGCAGGAAATATACAGTTGCATTTTGTGCAGAATAAGTAAGGAAGAGGTCGATGCTGTGAGCTGGGATGTGGGACATGGCTCTTAGACACGAAAAAGTCAGGGTGAACAGAGGAGCAGTTTTGTTTAGTACCCAGGGGAGGACCATTATGGAGCTGCTTTGAAACCTGTCCCCAGAAGACCACAGCCTGGGCTCTGCCTGTATGACCTGGAATGTTGGGGGTGGGAGAGGCCCCTGCTCAGCCAGGTGCTACTTATTATGAATAAAAACTCACCTCCACAGTCCCAGAGTTATAGGCCAGCCGAGGCAACATTTACAGCAGAGGGATCACTGAAGCCTCCCCAGGCCCCTCAGCTTAGAGGCCAGCTATCATCTGGGTGGGTGGCTCAATCTGACTGGGGGGTCAGGCCCCAGATGCCTGTGGGAAAGTATAAGGGATTGGGGCATTATTAGATCCACAACTTCCCCTCTGATTTCTCTTTTATGAACCTGCCTTTATAAACTCACATGTGTTTGCTTTGGAAGAACATTTTCAGGGGGAGCCCAAAGATGTGACCTTCTCAGCGTGCCCTCTTCTCCACTGTAGGCAGGGTCTTTGAGCCGCACCAAGACGTAATGTGTTCTTGGATGTGAATAAAGCATTTATTGGGGTTTAAGACTTTACCATAGCTCAGGAAACCATTGGGACACAAGTGCCTGACTTTGAGTGAATGATACCAGAATTCTTGGCCCAGCAAAATGGTCCCCTACCTGCACCGTGTTCTTAGCGTCTCTCAGTTCCCTTCTCCCTGGGCTCTCAGGCCTTCCCTACTAACTTCTCCTTGGCTTCCCCTCTTCCAATTGTCAATCTTTAGCCTGGGATTCTAGGGGTAGGAGAGTAGGAAATAGTGGGGAGATTTCATTTATTAAGCACCAACTGGATCCCAGGAACCATGTGAGGCTCTGAGAATGCAATGGAGAATTAAGCATGATCCCACCCTCTGTGAAACCTTTTGTCTAATGGAGATGAGCAAGAAGTGAGCAGCCTGTGACAACTTGAAGGAGAAATGCAATGACTGGATGGGCAGAGCCAGGTAAGGGAGGGTTAAATCATGATGCATTGAGAATGCTGAGATAGGGGAGTGCTTCCTGGAGGAGGTGGCTCCTAAATTGAGATAGGAAGGGCAAGTGAGAGTTATTTAGGTGTAGAGGATGAAGATCTGAGGAGGCAGAGGTGTGGGCAGGGTTGAAACTGCTTTAGGAAGCTCAATGAAAGGGCAACGAGGGAGCGTGATAATACCTCCCTTCAGGCCTTATGAACAGACTGCTGTGGTCACACACTGAGATGCCCACTGAAAGTTAAGACCTGGGTAACCTCACAAACAGAATAATGGGAGTGACTTGTCTGCGAGGAAGATGCTGGCTGCAGCTGACCAGCTCCAGGGCAAGGTCAGACACAGGTCTAGGAGTTTGATTATGGTGGCTTAAAGATGACCACTAATTCTTTGTCATCCAAAGGCAGTCCATTTCCTCTCTCCTTGAATTTGAGCACAAAAAATGTCTTGGGACTTCCAAGTGCAGACTTTAAGAAAGACAGTTAAACTTTCTTCCCTTGGAACCCAGTGGTTACACTGTGAGATGTCCAAGTCAAAGGAGAGGCCACATGGGGGTAAATCAAGGTGCTCTGCTCAACTGCCCTGAATGGACTCCAATCCCACAGCCAGTATCAACTGCAACCATGTCAAACAGCCCTCTTGGTTTCTCCAGCAGAATTGAGTCCCCAGATGATTCCAGCTCTAATCAGCAACACCTGGAACAGAAGAACCACCTCACAGTGTTCAATCAACTCACAGAAACTTGGAGAGATGATAAATGATTGTCGTTTTAAGGCACTAAGTTTGGGATAGTGGATCACTGAAATATTAGACAAAGGCGCAGTCCTCTGAAGCAAAAATCAGTCACTAGTGCCAACCAAGCTCCCCACATTAGCTCATTCTGCCAACAGTTTTAGGAGCTCAAGATTCCACTTTCCTATGTGACATATATATAAGATATATATGTAGGATATATATAGGAGATATATATATATAGGAATACTATTCAGTATTCCTGAATTTTGTGTGTGTGTGTGTGTGTGTGTGTGTGTGTGTGTGTATATATATATATATATAGGAATACTATTCAGCCAGAAAAAGGAATGAAATCATGTCTTTTGCAACAGCATAGATGGAACTGGAGACCATTAGCTGAAGTGCAATAACTCAGAAACAGAAAGTCAAATGCCACATGTTCTCACTTATAAGTGGGAGCTAAGCAATGGGTACACACAGACACACAGAGTGGAATAACAGACGCTGGAGACTCCAAAAGGTGGGACACTGTGTGAAGGGGGTGAAAGTTGAAAAATTACTCATTGGGTACAACGTTCACTATTCAGGTGATGGGCACACTAAAAGCCCAGACTTCACCACTATGCAATATATGCGTGTAAGAAAACTGCACTTTTACCCCCTAAATTTATAAAAATTAAAAATTAAAAGAAAATTTAACTTTCCGGATAGTCCCCTTTCCCCAATTCCACCTTCAACTAACTAGTAAGCATCAGTGGAATATGTTGTCCAAGGCACTTGAGGGGACAGGGGGTGTACGGAAGACACAAGAAAATACTCCCTGCTCTCAAGAGGTTCACTTAAATATTTGATGAGGTGAATATACCATCCCTACTCAGAATTTGTTCAAGCCAGAAGTTTAGATGTCATCCTCCATCCTTTGATGGCTCTCCCCATTTAACATTAACAACGAACACGTGCTCAGTACCTTTAATATGCCAGGTATCATGGGTTAACTCATTTAGTTCTCAAAACCCTGTTAAAATAGTATTTCTCCTTCCCATTTCACAGGTGAGGAAATTGAGGCACACAGTTATGTCACTTGCACAAGTCACAAAACCAGTTCGTGAGAGAGCTAGAATTGGAATCTTGGCTAGGTAATTCCAGATCTTTCACTCTTAACCATTCTATAGAATCAGCACCCATCTTTGAGTCAGAGTTTGAGATGCAAATTCTTTACTGTATAGCCTTGATCAAATGACTTCATCTCATTGAATTAATATTCTTCTGCATAAAATGAGGTCACCATCTGCTTATCTAAATTGTTATAAATGGGACAGTATATGCACCATTCCAGGTACCTAATCACAGCTCAATCGATGCAGGAGTCTCTTTCCTTTTTCTTTCTGCAGAAAACATGCTTTACATAGGATCTCTGAACTTAAAGAATGGGTAAACCATGGCAATTGCTTGCCTCAAATTGAATTTCTGGTATATTAGGCAGTGGCTTCTACTGAAGAAGTTTTGCGTTGTAGCCAGGCTCTATAATCATTGTAAATATGTTGCTCTAAGGCAAGAATTGACAAACTTTTTCTGAAAAAGGCCACATAGTAAGTATTTTAGGCTCTGTGGTCTGTACAGTCTCTGCTACAGTACTCAACTCTGCCCTTGTAGTGGGAAAGCAGCTTAGGCGGTATGTAAAGGAATGTGTATGGATGTGTTCCAATAAAACTTTATTTACAAAGCAGGCAGCGGGCCAGATTTAGTCTATGGACTGTTTAGCCCCTGCTCTCAGGTAAGTTGTAGAGGTTCTGCTGAAAGAATCTCTTCCAGTCCTGGCAAAAATCTTGTAAGTTAGGAAATCGCCTAGAGGGTAAAATGAAGGAGCTTGGTGAGAGTTTTTATAAGCAGTGAAAATTCTGCCAAAGATTCCCATGACTTTTGATATCCAGCATGGTATAACCCTGGCTCTATATCTAGTTTTCAATTCTGATATTGCAATTTTGAAAGTAGTTTGTAGAAACATAAGAATTCATTAAAAAACTCATTCAATGATCCACTTTGTAGCCTTGTGACTAATCCAGAAAGTAGAGTCTGTGTCTCTTTAGGAACATAACCCTCCCTAGCAAGGTTCCTGCAGAAAACTCACCCTTGGAAATAACACTAGGGGAAAAAAGTGTTCCATGGTAAAGTTTGTTTGGAAAAGTTTACATATTTTATTCTCCCTCTCGGAGATTTCTAATGGATATAAACATATTAAAAAGCTGAGAATTTCTATAGTAACAAAATCCATTAATCTTGGTTAACTCTGACTTTTACAAACTCACTTGACCACAAAAACTTAGGTTAAAATATGGGATCTGGATTCAATAAAATGAGCATAAAAATACTTATCTCCTGGGGCTGGTGTGAAGAGTGCATCTGATGAAGCGTGTGCTTAGCACAGGGCCTGTGAGAGAACACACAGGAACTACGTGTTGGCTGTTACTTTAGCAGCACACTTGGGAAATGCTGGCCAAGACCATAATGTACAAAGATATTCGTAAACTCAATTCTGATTATAAATTTCAAAAGAGTTAGTAAATGGTATTCCATATCATATGATATAATAAGTGCCATAATCAATCTTCCAGAAATATTTTGTCCTTGAAAGTGGAACCCCCTGAGAATGGCCTGTGTTAAAACAAGAGGTGCATGGTGACCACCTCTTTATGAGACACCAGGATCCTCGGGGAGTTCTCACTGCAGCGTGGGCAGGTGGTGGTCTGGAGGCTGAAGGCTGGCTGAATGGAAACAGTCAGCCTGGAAAGGGGGATGTGGATGCTGGTGGTCTCACTCTCTTCCACAGCAGGACCCTTTCAAACCCCCTCCTACAAAGGCCAGAGGCCCCAGATATTGACACATGCCTTTAAGCCCTTGGATACTTCAAAGAAAGAAGATTAAGAGCCAGTCTCAGAACCTGTTCCCCAGAGAGATGCGTTTGTCCAAAAGTTGATATTATCGATGTGAGTGGAAGCTGAGAGGAGCGTATAATTTCTTTAATAAAAGCTGGACTGTGTTTGCTGGGGCTCCTGAGTTTTTCTGCTTCCTCCAGAGCATTCTCAGGGGCTGGGACGGCCTCCTATGATCGGCACGAATGTTTGATCAGCTATGCGTCTTCTCCAGGGCAGCTCAGATGATCCGAAAGGCTTCGGATCTCTGGTCGTCTCCAGAGTTTTCCTTCTTAAATTCTTTGTTTCCTTCAGAATTCATTATAAATGACATAATTACATCTCTTTTTCTTCTCTGATTGAGAATATTTCTCACACATGGTGATTTGCCACTTGGATGCAGGAAGAGACTGAGCGATGTCACATGCACCCAAAACACTGCATCTCCCTTCCAGAGCTGCACTGCCTCTCACCCAAGCACTCCTCTCCCTTCCAGAACTGCACTGCTTCTCACCCAACCACTCCTCTCCCTTCCAGAGCTGCACTGCCTTTCACCCAAGGACTCCTTTCCCTTCCAGAACTGCACTGCTTCTCACCCAAGCACTGTGTCTCCCTTCCAGAGCTGCACTGCCTCTCACCCAAGCACTCCTCTCCCTTCCAGAACTGCACTGCCTCTCACCCGAGCAGTCCTCTCCCTTCCAGAACTGCACTGCCTCTCACCCAACCACTCCTCTCCCTTCCAGAGCTGCACTGCCTCTCACCCAAGCACTCCTCTCCCTTCCAGAGCTGCACTGCCTCTCACCCAAGCACTCCTCTCCCTTCCAGAGCTGCACTGCCTCTCACCCAAGCACTCCACTTGCCACTGTCCCTCGCCAACTTTCCCCTAGTTTGGGATATTGACAGATTCCCCACAAACCCATGAGAAAAAGAAGATTGTCTGGCTCAGCATGAAATTGAATTTCAGAAAATAATGAAGTCCTTTGCAGAGAATGATATTTCCTAAGAGAAGACATACCACCAACTGGATGTTATCAAGAAAAAAATGGGGTATATATTGTTCCCTGTATATTTTATTTATATATGATTGCTATAATTACTTGCTTAGAAACAAACATTCTATTAGACCATGGCATTCCAGCTCCAGTGAAAATAGAAAAGGGGATTTGATAGCAAATTATCATCTGTGACAAGAGAAATTTAAAATTAGAGGCAGGGCGTGGTGGCTCACACCTGTAATCCTAGAACTTTAGGAGGCTAAGGCAGGTGGATCACCCGAGTTCAGGAGTTTGAGACCAGCCTGGCCAACATGGTGAAACCCTGTTTCTACTAACAAACAAACAAACAAACAAACAAACAAACAAACAGCTAGGCGTGGTGGTGGGTGCCTGTAATCCCACCTACTGGGGAGGCTGAGGCAGCAGAATCGCTTGAACCTGGGAGGCGGAGGTTGCATTGAGCCAAGATTCGGCCACTGCACTCCAGTCTGGGTGACAAGAGTGAGACTCTGTCTTAAAAAAATAAAATAAAACTAGAGACAGACACAAGAGAATTTGTTCATTCATTCATTCATTCGTTTACTTCACTAATATTGACTGTGTTTCTTTCCGTGCCAGGCACCACTGTGTTAGGTATAATCATGGTGGCTGAGCAGTAAGAGCTTATATTTGTGGAGCACCTATTATGTGTTAAGTATGATCTCATTTAATTCCATCACATAGGAACCAATCTTGTTATTAATATTATTATTTTACAGAGAAGGAAAATATAGCTTAGTGAAGCTAAAAGGCTGCCCAAAGCCAGGGTAGCTAATAAGCAGCAGATGTTGGGTCTGATACCAAAGCCTCCAAGTTTGGATAAAGTGGCTACATTGCCACTTGAAGCAAGCAAAGTCCTTATTCTCATGGAGTTTGCATTCTAGTGGGGGAGACAGTCAATTGAAAATAGAGGCAAATGTATACACATAAATAAGCAAGATCATTTCAAATAGCAGTAAGAGCTCTGGGAAATATAAAATGGAGTGATGTGCAAGGCAGAGACAAAGTGGAGGTGCTGGGAAGATCCCCCACCCCAGTTGGACACTTGTGATGGCTGAACCAACTCTCTTTGAGCCTAGTTGTTTCATTTGAAGGCAGGAACCTGGGCAAGAGGATCCTTCTGTAGCTCATTTCATTCCACGGTTGCATGGGCAGCATGGGCCGCCATTTACAACCCGTGTTCTTCCTCTGTGTTCTAACATGTGGAGTTTTTCCAACCCAGACACAGCTAGACCACTAGATACGAGCAGACTCAGATGCTACCTAAATAAAAGGTCACGCTTGTCCTTAAGCAAATAGTCCTACAGAGGACACCCAGATATGGCAGTAAACAAATGTCCAAGTGTTTCATGAAAAACACTAAAACACTCAACTGGTGGGCAGTGTTACCCTCCAAGCGACATTTGGCAATAACTGGAGACTTTTGGGGTTGTCACGAACTGGGGGAAGGATGCTACTGGCATCTAGTGGGTAGAGGCCAGGGAAACTGCTGAACATCATACCATTCACAGGGCAGCCCCCTACAACAAAGAATTATCCAGCCAAAATGTCACTACTGGGAAATCTCATGCTACAGTGAGATAGAGAGATAGATAGATAGATAGATAGATAGATAGATAGATAGATAATAGACAGATAGATAGACCGCCTCCTCGTTTTCTGGTAACTTTCTCTACCTCTGAAATCTGCCCCAAATTGATGGAGACAAGAGGTTTCAACAATTTTTTACTAAAACTTTCCATCAAAAGTCCAACCCAAAAAGTAGGGTCAGGAAAGCTCCCACATTTAAAATGATCTCACACAGCCATCAGAGAAAGAGAGAGACTCCCTTAAAGATGTGGAGAGAGAATGTCTAAATGTCTACTTGCATAAAATTGATAATACAAAACATATCTCCATTAGGTTCTTTCTTAATTGAAACGATGCTTTCTTTCATCCCTGCCAGGAAGAAGAAAAATCGTGTTTCCAGCTTGGGCTGCTGTTTCATCTGCTGGACTTGCTTGTGAGCTAAGCCAAGTTTCATTAAAAATTATTGGTCTCATAACTTTTTTTGTTTTTTGCTTTAAAGAGTCCCATATGGAACCAATATCATGATAGGATTGTAGCTGCACAAAGCCATTGGGCATTTTGACCCACTCTCTGCTTCTTGGTAGATTCTAAGTACAGATCTAATTGTTTTTTCCTTCAAGTATTAAGTGAATATCTCTGCAAACAAATCCAAATTTAGAAAGTTAGATTGAAGAAATAGAGAAGCAAATCTAGTCAGCTCACAGAAATCTTTCTTCTCCTCTCTTGCTCTGTCTCCAAGGGAACCTCTACACCTTCTTTTAAGGTGTCAGCCATCTTGAGCTCTTGTCTGATTAAGAAATTCTCTGGTAGAACCAGAGCATCTGCAAAAGCGTTAAATATGATCACAACCATTGTACAAGTATTTTAACAACCAAACCTTATGATAGGTTATATTTCATTGACTCGGAAGAAACACTGCATTATCTGGGAAAACAGCACAGATGTTGCCTAATAAACGTTTTGGTTTATGCATTGTATTAACCTCATGAAATATTTATGCAAATCTCACATTAACAAAAGGTAAAAGAACCATTCTGTGTTATGAAGCAAACAACAGGATGATCTTTGTCGTGTTTTTGTTGTTGTTGTTGCTGTTGTTTTTACCTTGGTATTTTATGGGTGTGTTTGTAACTCTTGGGGTTTCTATTTAGGAGGACACAAGGGCATTGCAGATTTTCATCTCTTCTGTTTTCAGTTCTGTTATCATCCCTTCCAGCTGACTTCACATTTTATGATGCTAATGGGGGGTGTGTGGTTTTGAGTTTCTCTCCTGTCAGCTGGTCAGTGGGTCTGAGGGATATATTTAATAGAATCTGACAGCTGATGGAGCTGGCCTCATTGAAAGAGGATTTGATATGTGGAGTGAATGTGGCGACCCTGAATTCGCCATAATAACGGCCATTATTATTCTGCCTCTCGCAGCCAATATAACTCTCCCTGTTGTACACACCAGTACATGTGTATAAAAGACATGACTTATGGATGGCTTCTTCCGTATACTGATCTGAGGGCCATTTAGATAGCATGTCAAAACAGATTAACTGTCTTATCCTGCCACAAAATTAAGGGGGGGAAAAAAACTTTATACATCTCTGCCCAACAAATGCACTCTGTGCCCCTAAACAAAGCCAGCACAGAAGGGGCACAGATCATCTCTGGGTGGGGGTTAGGCACCCAGAAAAGCTGCAGGCTCACCCAGTTAAGGTGCCCCCTCCAGTGAGGACCCGAGGGCACTGCCTGAGATATTGTGAGGGCAGCTGGAGCCACAGGTAGGAACCTACCTCCTGAAAGGCTGGTGCCATGCTTTAGCTGTGTGCATGTGCCTGGGATGTTGGGGTGGGTGTTGGCTCACCTCGGCCCCTGCTGAACTGGACTCACTGTTGAAATCAACATCTCAACCTGCATCCTGGCAACCTGAAACAGCCACAGTCTCTGCCAAACCTGCCTGCCTACTGGTTACTAAAGTTCGCTAACATTTATCTTGTGCTTGTTCCGTGCTGAACTTTACTTGCAGTGACCCTTTTAATCTTCCCAAGAACTCTAATCTGTAGATATTATTATGATTAATTATGATTCTCACTCCCATTTTACATATGAAGAAACTGAGAGAAAGGCAAGCTAAGTAACTGGTCTCAAGTCACAGCTGATGATCAATGGAGCCAGGATGGAATCTCAGGCCATCAGAGCCCATTGCCACAACAGTGACAGTCCTCTTCTGCTTCTGTTTGTCCCCCAGCCAACAAGAAGTATGTGTGACTGTGTGTCTGCATACACATGCATATGCACGTATAAAAATTCTTAGACCCAAATGTCCCCCTAGAAATCATCTTCACCCCCCTCTCCCCCATTAGCTGCAGCCAAATCCCCACTCAATCAAGAAAGTTACTGTGATTTTTTTCCTCCGTAAACCGGTCACCTCCCATCCCATGGGCTGCCACAAAGACAAGGGGAGAACCTGTGTGCACCTCGCACAGCACCAGGCCTGGGAGGTTGGCCAGGAAGCACTTATCTCTCCTGTCCTTCATTTCCAACCTCAGAAACCCACCCCTGTTCCCTGCCTCCTGTCTACAAGCTGACCTGCCTGTCTTCAGCCATGCAACACTGCTGTCTGAGGTTACCATTTCAGGCACTGATATCAGAAGCAGTTGATCCCACATTTCTGAAAAGAATCCTTTTATTTATCTACCGTCATCTTCCAGTAAAAAAAAAAGAAAAGTAAAGTAAAATGGCTGCAGAGAAGCCAGCAGATGTGTCCAGGGTACCTGAGGAAAGCAGGCCAGATGCTAGGAGATATCCTCATGGCTGTCAGTGTTTAAATTACATAGAGCTGGTACTTTTTAGGTCAGAAGCATAAAACCTACTATTGATCTTGAGCAATGCGTCCAATTTTGAATGTCTGTTAAAGCCCCAGGCACTTCAATGCCACATAATCAATATTTCTTTTCGTTCTTTCTTTCCTTTTTTGTTGTAGAAAATGTATGGGTTTGTTTACCCTTCCTGCAGGCATCCAACCTGGCCTTTTATTCCTGCTCAAGTAGGACACGCAGCCTGCTGGGGACCCGCGGCTCAAATCCTCAGTCTGCAGGACTGCCATCCCTGGGACTCAGGAATAATGGAAGTGCAGTACCCACTCCTTACAGCCCAGACGACTTTCCAGGAGCAGGCCGTACCCCTAAAGTAACCAAGGAACAAGGGGCAAGGAGACAGAGAGAGATGGGGAAACGTGAGACCATGTTTAGCTGAGTGTAGACCCTAAGATAAGAGAGTACTTGCAATCTTGAAATTTAGAGTAGAAAAGGGCCTTGGAGATTATCTGGGGGAAACATTCCCTTTCAATCTGCAGATGGAAAAACTGGCCAAGTCTCCTTATGCCTGAGTTGTTGAAATGGTCCAGGGAACATGAGCTGGGCCATATGGAATATGGATTACGCTTTGAACTCTGTTAAGAAAAGGGTTTCAGGTCGACCAGAGGACCACAGCAGTCTTCCTATTCTGACACTGAGGACAACCTAGTAAGCAGGCCAACCAGGTAGACTGGTGTGATTCGAAGCTACGTGGCCTTTGCGTCCCTGCCCAAAGGCCTGGTGGCTATGTCTGTGGTGGTGGTCTTGAAGAAGTGTCTTCTTCTACAGGCTGCTACATAGATTTGGCCTTGAAGGATGAAAAGCACAGAGAAGAGAAAATGGTGAGGGGTAAGGGGTGGGGACAGAGGTAAGAAGACAAAATGACAAGTGTTGCAAAGACAGAAGTGAGAAGCAGCATGGTGCGTTGATGGACTTGCAAATGGTTCACATGAGCAGCAGAGCACAGGGTGTGGAGGCAGCAAGAGAGACGGTATCACAGGAGCCTGGCCATGCCCTGCACTGAGGAGTTTCCAACTCTTGGCTTTGAAGCCTTTTGAATCAGGCAGTGATACAATCAGTGCTGCACTGGAGAAAGTTCATGTTGGCTGGACGGCAAAGAATGGATCGGAGGAAGCGAGACTGGGGTCAGGGAGCCAGAGAGCAGATTACTCCAGAGGCCAGGCAGACCCTGATGGCCAAACCAGGAACGGCGGATGGGTTTCTCATATTCACAAGGAGGCTCTGCAGGATCGGAGGGAGGGTCTGGATAGATAAAGTGATGGGAAGATCACAGTTGTAGGCAGGGTCACTTAAAAATTCTAGCACTACATGTGAATTGTCAGGGTTTACTGTGTGACTTTTGACAAGTCACTTAACCTCTCTGAGCTTCAGTTTCCTTACCTATAATGTGAGAATAACATGGGGATTTCATGATTAAATGAGGTAATACATGAAAGTGTTTTCCGCAGCGCCCACCATGTAGTAAACCTTCAGTAGGTGACAGCTGACTTCTGTTATATTATTGACCATGTGGAGAGTGTCCAATGAGACATAATGTGTTTTGAAGTAGCATCATCTTTTTTTTTTTTTTTTTTTGACAGAGACTCCCTCTGTCACCCAGGTGATTTTTCTGCCTCAGCCTCCCGAGTAGCTGGGACTACAAGAGCACACCACCATGCCTGGCTAATTTTTGTATTTTTAGTAGAAGTAGGATCATTTTTAACCCAGTCTTGAAATAGATAGCTTGAGTCATAAGCACGCTGGAGTTACTTATCTAGTGCAGGAAGACAACAACATAAACACATACCTATCTATCTCCCAAATTCCCCAGAAAATGACCAACTGTATATAAAAATAAAAATAAAAATAAGAAAAAACTTATCCATACTGGGTATTAGCGAAGGGTGGTATTTATAGGCCAGGAGGTCTGAGGAACATCTGTTAGATACACGGCAGATGGGCCAGATTGAAGAATTCATGATTTTTAGAATGGGAAGGAGTGGTCTGTTTGATAGAAATTTCAAAACTGTCTTTGCAGATCCTCACCAACAGCCCTGCTGCAGTGAGAACTGGAGGAGAGAGTAGGCTAAAGCCTCAGAACTGGTCAGTGCCACAGATAAGTGGCCATGGTGTCAGGGGCACAGTGAAGGGGAAATCCAGACCAGCAATTCCTTGGAACTAAATCCTGAAGCCAACTTACAGCCAGGCCTGGGTCAGGGCACAGCCCTAGCAGACTACTGGCAGCCGAACTTTAGTAGACACGAATTCTCATCTTACCAGCATTCCAGCTCCTCTTACTCTAGTAATGACTCTGATTTTGAACTTAGAGTCAACCCTTCTCTTCATTCTGAGTCCACCTGGTCTGGAAGGATCTCCAGGATGAGGTTCTTGACCCAGGTCTGGTCAATCCAGCACAAAATAGACCTTGACACAATGATTGATTCAGGAATGGTCTCAGCACTCAGGGTGGTCCAATCTCAAAAGTTTAGTGGGAGTCCACAATAAGATATGACTTCACAACATAAGCATGGCTGTCACCAGATAGAGCGATCTGAACAAGACTGGCAAGGAAGTGGAGAAATTGAACGCT